TTAACTTTCTTCCCCAATTAGAATACACTACATTTAGCCAGTCATGTGACACTTAACAGCCAATCACAATTCTTGATTAGGGGAGGTCAGTCTTCTAGTTGATACCACCAAGACAAAATGTATCACAAGTCTCATGAGTCAACAGATTCCAGCAGTATGACATGCCTTGTGAGTAAAGTTAGTTATTGTAACATCCACTAGCTTTCCTTTTCAGGGTCAGCGAGAAGGCATATACCACTTTTCTACACTTTATTAGCATGTTCCTTTTCTAAAAAATAAAAACTTCATTTACATTTTTCAAACTTCTCCTTGGCCATCTTTATTTTTCATTTTAAATATTTGAGTAATTATCTCTTTTGACAGCAGATACTACCAAAGCTATTTAATACATATTTGGAAACCCAACTGTCTCATTTTGATTATTATAGTTACAATGGTCTCTGTCATATTGATAGCCTTCTGACTTCTTTATTTTTGTTTTTTTTTATTATAGATGCTTGGGTAAATATTTATAATGCAGGCAGATACTGCCAAGACCACTTATATATATTTGGTAAACCCAACAAGACTTTGTTGGTTTGTCATAATGTAAAAATGATAGCTCCATACCAGATGCAGTAACTACCAGATTTGAGGGCTTCTTGGAATATTTCTTCTTTTCCGATGATGTGTCCATAAAGAAAGAAAGAAATAAAGATTAGGTATAGTGTGAAAAATAATTATAATAAAATAATTATAACAATTATCAATTCACTCTTTCTAAACTAATAAGAATCAACCCCACTTTTCTATTCAACACACACACAAACATGTAACATTCTCACTATGGGACAGGCAGTCAACACAGACAGGCTATCAACACATGCATCAATAAAAATTTTGCTTCCTTTTCCTTTTTCAGGCCATAATAGTCAGTATTTTTTTTTAATTGGTTTCACCCCATGCAAGGCAGTAATGCCACTAAAACACAAGGGGTTACAGGATATAGAAAAATTAGGAACATAAACAATAATAATATTAAACAAAAAGAGAGTAATCATACTAATGAAGGAATTGTGTTTTTAAAACTATTTCTCAAGAAAACTAATGTGAAGACGTTTTTCATAATAATTTAATTTTTCCATTAAAACTGAGCTTAATTGAAAAAAATTTTTCATAGCGAATGAATTCTCATAATAAAATCACTTTCCAATGTATTTTCATAGTAAAATCACTTTCCAATGCATTTTCATAGTAAAATCACTTTCCAATGCATTTTCATAGTAAAATAACTTTCCAATGCATTTTCATAGTAAAATCACTTACCAATGAATTTTCATAATAAAATCACTTACCAATGAATTTTCATAGTAAATTTTTGATGAAATCATCTTCACATTAGTTTTCTTGAGAAATAGTTTTAAAAACACAATTCCTTCATTAGTTTCTTTTCTCACACATCTTACTTGTGAAACTCTCTTCTGGCTCCATGCTTTCCAGCCAATTTTAATCTGAAAAAATTTAAATGCAATGTCAATCACTATCTACTGTCTTCTTGATTACTCTCTTCTCTTTCTTTATTATTATTATTGTTTATGTTCCTAATTTTTCTACATCCTGTAACCCCCTTGTATTTTAGTGGCATTGCACAGGGTGAAATGGATTTAAAAATACTGAGGAAAAAGTTTTTTATTTTTTTATTTTTTTTTATTAAAATTGAGCTTAATTGAAAAAAAATTAAAACTCAAAACTTTTCCTAAATATTCTATATTTAATTTTCAAATTTATAATGAAAGAATTCTGGTATTTTTATTTTTGTGTTGTTTGAGTCTCATTTTTAATCAGGTTTCATTTGCATTTGACTTGTTAAGCAGCATTAGTATAATTTATGGCATTCTGAACTCAACGAGAGACAGCATGTTCTTTTGAAGCTCCAAACAATTAACAGATTCCAAGCCTAACTGAAAACAACATAAAATATTGTGTTATGTATGTAAGTGTATCATAATTTTAGTTTGTCTATGTGGGTTTCAAATGATAATGTATAATTGTGCGTGTGTGTGTGTGTGTGTGCATGTATGCCTTGTAGACATTATTTATGCTTGGTGGTTGTTTGCATGTTGATTTGGGGATGTTTTTACATAAACATCAGTTGTGGTAGTTAAATATACATATGATTCTTTAAGAATGGATTTAATAAAGGTTGGTGATTTAATATACTGTTTTTGACATATGTTTATAATTCATAGATTATTTATCAATATTCCCTGAAAGTATTTTTAATATAAAGAAATATGTTCTATTTTTAATTAAGGTGCATTTGCAAAATCAGTTATGTCAAGTTTTGTCCCTTTTATTACGAGCGAGTTTAAATAGTTATCTCAACATAGATACGGGTTTTTAGATTCCAAGATGTCCCACCAATTTAAGTGTTTTTACATTGCAAGCAATTTATTTGATAAATACTGTGATCTGAAGTGTTGTTAGATTTATTTTTCTTCCTAATTATATTTCTGATTGTCTTGGAGATGGTGAAAAAGACCCTAGTTTTAGGAATAACTAATTTATTTTCAAATTTTGTAGATAGAGTGTTAGCAGGTAGGATTATGAATTTGTGTTGTTGATGTTGGCAATGTTAGTCTTTGGGATTTATGGACTTTGTATGCTCAATTTCTAGCAATGGAGATAAAATGATGTGGTAAGGGAAGAAGTTTAACTGTTTTTCAATGTATTTCTCTTCTTCACTTAGGTATTCTGGGCTACATATCCTAAGGTTCTGAGGTAGAATCTGTTATGATCCAGAATCTGTTATGATCCAGAATGATGATATTTCATCATTCTAAAAACAATCATTCTAAAATCTGAAAATTCATCATTATAAAAACAATCCTTCTACCAAAAGCAAAGTCAGTAGAGTAGCAGTAGTAAAAAGGAACAACACAGATGTATCTTCTTTGCTCTGTGAAAATCAACAGTTGATGGTCTCAAAGGTTACCCTTAAGAACAAAATTCTCAGAACAAGCAAAAACAAGTAAGCACAAAGCTTTAAAGAAACAAAAGAGACAATAATGCTGAGAAGACTATTAACACACACAATACCAATATTGTAATTAACATCAGGGAAAGAAAAAAAAATCAAGAAAAGGAATTGTCTATCAACTGCAAATACAAGTAACAATGAGGTAACTTACATTAACAACTCAACATCCACCTCATTACAAATCCTATGACTCATCCTGATATTATTTTTTGGCTGTAGTGGGAATAGAAATTAATTAGATCATTTTTGTTAGTGGGTTTATGATAAACTCTAAAATCTAATTTGTTATTATTAATAAGATGTCAAGGAAAGGTAGAGATTTGTCTATTTCAAATTGATGTGTAAATTCAATAGTAGATTCAATGTTATTAAGGTTCTTTATCATGTCTAGCAGATTTTCATTGTGTGGATATAATTAAAAGAACATCATCTATGTATCTGAGGTAAGTAGAGTTTCTAGGTTTGATGTGTTTAAATAGGCCAGGCTCTAAAAATTGCTGTACCAGGAAATCTTTCTCATCTGAATCCATCCTGCACATTTACAAATCTACCATTCATCCATGCATGGAATACTGCTGTCATATCTGGTCTGATGCTCCTGCTGTACATCTCGAGATTCTTGATGAAATCCAAAGAGTCTGTAATGTAAACAATCCTAATCAGGCATCTCAACTTCAGTCACTTTCTCACCAATGTGGTGTGGCTTCCCTCTTTCTTTTCTACAAATATTTTCATGTCAACTGCTCTGACAAGCTTTTTCTTCCTGGTACCCTGAATACATGAATTTAAGCATGCTACTAGATTGGCATCTAGGTCCCACCCATAATACAACCATCAATTCTACTCCAGCAGATTCTTTTCTCTACATTCTATCTGTAGAACTGCCTTCCGTTTACTTGCTTCCCTGATAACTACAATCTTCAAAAATTTAAATGTAACATCAATCACCATCTTTTGTCTTCATGAATCCTGTTCATCTTTTGTCCTTTTCTCAATTCTCCATACTCTCAGTCTTATCTTTTACTTTCACTCTCTGCAACCCCTGTATACTAGTTGCATTACTGCTTTACTTGGAGTAAAGTGATTAAAAAAAAGATAAGGACCCTACTAGGTGATCCCATAGGTAAGACATAAGAAAACACATCAAAATCTCAAATGGCAGAAATTTTATTCATATTCTTAATTGATGTCAATCTATATTTATAGAATAGAAATGGCATTGGAGATTAAGGGAATATTTGGACAGAGAAAATCTCGTTGAGAAAATGTTCACAAATGAAACACAAAACATTGAAAATGACACATTTTTACTTATTAAAGGGAGGTAACCAAGGCAGGCGTTTGTGAAGAAAATGAAACTAATTTTATGTTGAATAGACTTCTTAAAGCAAGTGACAAGTATAGATAAAAGTATATATATATATATATATATATATATATATAAAGAGAGAAACTGAGAGATAAAAAATTTATCCTATTAAAAACACCAAACATAAAATCAAAATGTAATTTTAAAATAGTTTTCAAAGGTTTTAAATCCAACATGAATTACAAATTTGGAAAATAAACACCCCACCCACAATTTCAGCTATGTGCCCATCCTTAAATGATAATGAACCTGTCATTCATAGGGTATTTAATTTTGAAAACCCTTTGACAAAGAAAGGAAATAAAAGAATTGAATGGAGTGTAGTTATTCTTTCAGTTATAGCCTCTCCTTTTTGCTATGACCTGGTCACCTACTTAAGAGTCAAAATGAATCTGTGGGGGTGTCATAAGTGAGTAGGTAGACAAAGTATTTCCGAACTGAAAGAAGATTCATGTCATCCCTCTTTGACAAATTTAAGGGTAGAAATTAAATTTATCTTAGTGTTTTAATCCCTATGAATTAAAAAAAAAATATTATTAATTTTTAGGTAAGTGAATCTTAGTTAAATATTATGAAAGTAATTATAAAAAGAGTAAAAAAGAAAGAGAAAAATTAGAAAAAAAGATAAAAAGAAGTAAAAATGGAAACAAAAGCAATAAAATAGCAAGAGGGAAAAAAAAGAAAGAGAAAAGAAACACTAAAGAAAGAGAGAGTAAAAACAAAGGAGAAAGATAGAAACAGGGATGAAAATACCTGAAAAAAATAAAAATGACTTAAAATACAAAAGTATAGTAAGTAAAAATAAGATTGGAGAAAGAGAGAAAAAATAAAAAAGTGTAGAAAATGAATGAAGTGAAACAAACAAGAATAAATAAAGCCATTGAAAATGGATAACAAAAAGAAAAGAAACAAGCAAAAGAAAAAGAAAGAAAAAAGAAAGAAATGAAAAAGAACAGAATAAACAATAGAAAAAAAAGCAATGACGAAAAGAATGGAAAAAGAAAATGAAAAAGAGAAATGAATAAAGAAACAAAAGAATAAAACAAGAGATGAAAGAAAAAGAAAAGAAAGAAAAAGAAAAGATAGAAGAAAGAAAAGAAACATTAAAAAATTATAGAATCAACAAAATTGATTTGTTAATTTTTTTTTGGCTTATCACTGTGGATTATTTAAAGTGAGACCATATTTTGGATTGTAAGAATAACTAGATGAAAAAACAATTATTCTTACAATATGACAGTTATGGTTTAAATAGTAGGACTTGTATTTGGAAAAATCATTGTTATTCTCCCAAAATTATTAATGGATAACTAGAGGGGCGAATGAATTCATACCTTTCCCAATGGTATTTGCGTGTAAGTGAATTTAATGAACTTGACTGGAATTTGAACTTGGCTCCCTGATTTCTCATTTGGAGCCATTATCCATTACATCACCTGCACATCTGAATAATGGATCAACAAGAACCCCTGCACACACACACACACACACACAAAAGAAAGATGCAAAAAATCTAACACAAAACATTTCTGTGTCTTGTATAAACATGTAAACTTTTATTTTTTTTATTTTTAGCCTTGTTATTATTGTCAAAAGAGGATATGGTATTGCTTAAAAAAATTTCCTCTTTTCCAAAACAAAATTCTTCTCAAAAATCAAAGCCCACAATAAGAAGCCTACAATTTCTTTCTTATTAATTTAATTTCCAAAGCATCTGGAAACATGTAAAATCCAAGACACAAGGAACCAGCCTTAGAATGTAGAATGCATTGGAAAGTGATTCTATTATGAAAATGCATTGAAAAGTGATTTTACTATAAAAATGCATTGGAAAGTGATTTTACTATGAAAATGCATTGGAAAGTGATTTTATTATGAAAATGCATAGAAAAATGATTTTTACTATGAAAATGCATTGGAAAGTGATTTTTACTATGAAAATGCATTGAAAAATGATTTTACTATGAAAATGCATTGGAAAGTGATTTTTACTATGAAAATGCATTGGAAAGTGATTTTACTATGAAAATGCATTGTAACTGATTTTACTAAATATGTTTAGGCTTTAAATAATCAACAAACTGTTGATAAGCCATAAAATACAAATTAATCTATCACTCCTACAATTCTTCTGCAATTAAAAGATAGGTGTAGCACAATTTTCCTTTTTCCATTACTACTTAGCCTTGAGCCAGATTAACTTAGTTTTAAGAAGTATATATAGAAAGAACATTATTTTTATTCACAAGTTAAATATGTATAAAAAAGCACTTTTGTAATTATTCATTAGTAGAAACTGCCTGGCACTGTAGCACAATGATCAAATTGTCTGAGTTTGTCCAAAGCTTGAAAAGGTAACATCAAGTTAAGCTTACTAAGTATATATACAAAGAAACATTATCTTTTCTTCACAAGTTAAAGAAGCTGGAAAATAGTCAGTCCTTAGTACCACCCGAGAAAGTATCTGACTCCTTCGACTATGCTTTATCTTTTGAAGATTCAGGTCAAACCAAAAATTGAAGTGTTGCTGTTATTCTGTGATGGAGTTGCCCAATCATCACTTTCCAACTTTGAAAAGGTCTAAAATCATTCATGCTGTCTTGTGAGGGAAACTTATTCTCCACTCTGCAACCTCTTTTTTTTCACAGGTGCAACTATTTTAAACACTGTTTGTTGTTGCATATATGTTATAATTTCTCTGCATGAAACACATGTATATGTATATATATAATTTTGCATATGATGTAACATATTAAAACTCTCTCTGAAAACAAAGCATGTTTGTTATTCCTTTTCCATTCAGCTATTCCGTTCTATCTGTGAAGTACAATGTTAAGCACATTAGCAGTTAGGTTCTATCATTTCACTTTTAAAATTGTGAGATGTAATCTTAAATTCTATGCTAACAGTTTCTTTTCTCATACTTCTCACTTCCTCTTTGCCAAATTCTTGTTTTCTGTCAACTGTGACCTTCAGAAATTTAAATGCAGCATCAATTGCCATCTTCTGACTTCTTGAATCCTGTTCTTTTATTGATTGTCCTTTCTTTCCTTAGCAACATTTTCTCAGTTTCCTTCACTTTTGGTAACTCCTTGCATCTTAGCTTTATTGCCCTACTTGGAGTGAAATGATTAAAAAATGTTATTCCAACAATTCCATCCTTCCAGAAGTTTTTATCTTTTTCTATCAAAGCAGTATTCCAGGAAAGTGGAATTTTATTTCCTTAAGAGAATACTTTAAAGACCAAAATTGGAGGTACTAGTAAAGACATGACCCTGGAGTAGAAGGGTCATGTCTGAAATCTGTCTTTTTTTTTTTTAAAGTAATCATGCTACTAATGATGTTTTAGGCAATTGTCATCAATTTAATTCATTTTTGAGGATCTGCTGGGTGATTACGTGACAAAGCAAAGGTTTGACACATTTTACATGAAAATACAATAGTTCATAGTTAAAGGCTTTTAACCATATGCAATTGTGTAGATCATAATGCTGAAAATGATCTTCTGAAAGTATGTCATCCTTTATTTATTAACCCAATTAATGGATATCTATTCACGCGGGCTGCTTTTCCTGCATTTGTGATGTTTTGCGACAGCAATTGATTTGTATTCATTGTTTTTATTGACAATTTTTGTTGATGCTATTATATGAAGAAAATATATGTAGAATATTTTAGTTGGTGTTATTAATGATCATTAACCTGGCCATTTTGTGGGGATGCATCCTGAATCTTTTGAGGGACTTTTAATTTTCTCTTGAGAGTATTTTATTAGAAACACACTATAGATGAATAAAATCTGATCTAAACATGACTAATTACAATGGCTTTTGTTATGACTAATGTTAGTACTATCTTCTCAACAATCTTTAAAAAACATGTCCATATTTTTTTTGGTAATATTTTTCATCAAAAAAGCATTTTTGTGTGGGTTTAACCCTGTTTTTGAGTTAATCTAGTATGATATTTGACTGAACTGCAATGTAATAACATTCACATTTTTTTAACCATGAGGAATTATATACCTTTTCTTGCTTTGACTAATATTTTACGCAGACCTATGTTAATAATAATAACAACAGTGATATCATAGCTGAAAAAAGAACATTTTCTTTAAAACTATCCTCATTCTTGACTTTTAATCAGACGTTTGCCTGGCAGATCCTCAAATCTGCATAAATTGAAGAAAAATATCTGAAAATATATTCAAGGGATTAATATCTTTAAAGTGAAATGGTGACCACTAGATTCTGAAGATGGCTCTGAAAATCCTGTTCGTACTTCCAATTTCTATGATTTTTTTATTATTTCACTGTATGTAAGGCAATAAAGCCACAAAGACACAAGGGGTTACTCAGTGTGAAAGAATAAGAAAAAAGAGAAACATTATTAAGGAGTGAGAACAATGTGAGAGCAATCTTGAAAACAGTAGATAGCAATTGACACTGCATTTAAATTTTTGAAGATCAAAATTTGCTGGAAAGTATGATGCCATAAGAGAGCTCAACAAGCAAGAAGTATACAAGTAGTAGTATAAAAGGACAATATCTGTTGAATACAGAAGATTGGTATAAAATTCCCAACCAAGCTGTAATAATTTTTGTCTGATTAGTAAAGTAATATATAGTCTATATATGAGAGGATATTGCACAATTTCTCTTTATATAACTAAATAAAACAGAAGAATCAATTGAATTTCAATGTAGAGACAAATCATCACTTTCCAACTTTGAAAAGGTCTAAAATCATTCATTCTGTCTTGTGAGGAAAAACTTATTCTCCACTCTGCAGCCTCTTTTTTTTTCACAGATGCAACTATTTTAAACACTGTTGTCATCAATTTAATTAATTTTTGAGGATCTGCTAGGTGATTAGGTGATAAAGCAAATGTTTGACACATTTTACATGAAAATACAATAGTTCATGGTTAAAGGCTTTTAACCATATGCAATTATTTAGATCATAATGCTGAAAATGATCTGAAAGTATGTCATTCTTTTATTTTTAACCCATTTAATGGATATCTATTCACACAGCCTGCTTTTCTTGCATTTGTGATGTTTTAGACAGCAATTGATTTGTATTCATTGTTTTTATTGGCAATTCTTGTTGATGTTATTATATGAAGAAAATATATGTAGAATATTTTAGTTGGTGTTATTAATGATTAACAAAGTAAAGTTACACTGATATCTGATGGCACATTGGGATAATGAAAGATGCCTTCCAAAGCTAAGAAAAGTATTAGGAAACAGAAAAATTTCATTAGAAACAAAGGAAAGTGCACTTAATTAGTACCTCACAGATGAAGATGCAACAGAAACATAGTTCTACATAAAGATGCTGAGAATACCATGAGCCAAACATGTGAGCAATGATTAAGTTTTAGAGAAAATGGACACAAAAAGGACACTTATACTAAGCATCAAGAAGAAACAGTTGAAATTTATAAGGCACATAATGAGGAAAGAGGGTTTGGCAAGAGAGACAAAGGAAAATTGGGTACGATGATAAACTACATCCAGCAGCAAGGTATCTGATTGGGAGATTGGAGGTTTTGAGGAGTATGGAACCACCTCTTATTGTTGTAACCAGGGTAGTAACACCTGTTAGGTTCTCAGCTATGGGCAAATAGTGAACTCCCAAGCAAAAACAAAACATTATGAAAGAATAAAAATACATTTTTATAATAAAAATACCAGCAATACATTTTTATATAGTAAAAATACCAGCAATACATTTTCGTATAGGCAAAATAAGAGCAATACATTTTTATATAGTAAAATTACCAACAATACCTATTTATAGTAAAATTACCAACAATATATTTTATAGCAAAATGAGCAACAATGCATTTTATTTGTAATTAAAGGTATAAAATATATTAGGGCATGTAATGTATTTAATAATTTTGTCTTCTGTCTCATCTATACTGTCTTCATTTTTTGATAAAGAGAATTACATTGCAATGAAAAACAACTAAAAAAGGGTGCTAATCAGCTATTTTAGAAAAAAAAACGAAAAATCAATTCCAATCAATATAATTTCTGTTTGAAATACACTAGAGTATTTTGCTTAATGGAAATAGAAAATTTAATCATTTT